TTTAACAATTACATCCCTGGTACACGCCAGAGTGCCGGGTACATAGGTCTATCTAGTGTCAGTCTATTGGTTCCACCTGCAGTGCTATTAAACAAGGAATCCACCACGGCCCTAATCTTAGTTCTCAGCCTTGTGAGTTACATGAATACCAAGTCTTTCCTTTGCCAAGTAAAGGGCTCTACAGGAGCCTCAGGAAGCAGCTCGGGGAAAACAGGCAGGCTCTGAGCGGAGAATGGTGGTTGCAACGCTCAGTTCAGGAGCTTCCCACGATGCAGAACCTTGGTGGCAAGAAAACCTGGAGCTATCCCAAGTAGCACCTACTAAAGGGTTCAAAAATTTGTGGACAAAGGACATGAAAAGATCATGGAGTCTTTCTATGTACTTTACAAGGCCCTTTTATATTCCTCGTGGTCAGCAACATGGGCCCCAATAACCTGCAGAGAAGGAGGTGGCACAATGAGGTAGCACATCTAAATAACTGTCCGCTCTTCATGCAGCATGATCGACATGTGTTCCTGGCTGCGGTAGTCTGGGTGCTTTAGAGAAACAAATCCACAGCAACTCATGTACGAGAGAGTTTTATATAAAGGTTAAGTGTGCATCAAGAAAACACCCCAACCCAGTGCTGCCCAAGCCCATAAGTCCAACATTAGCCCATTAACCTATATGTCCACCACCAATCCACAAAGTCCTCCTCCATCTCACAAAGCAGACCAATGACACTGACTACAGGAGGAAAGCTGAGGCAGTGAATGTGTAAACATCTCAGCGCTCGCAGGGGTCTCCAACACCCAGGGCTGCATCGGGGTAGGTCCATGTGGCTTCTCCTTGGGGATGTCTTGTAGGAAGTCAGTCTTGCCAGCTGAAGCAGGGAACTGGCTAAGGCAGCTGCACCCTGGTGTGACCATCACAAAGCAAGAGACCTGAGAACTAGAAAGGCGAGGCTCATGGAGCCATTTATTCCTCTGCTCTTCAATTAATCCCACATGTGCTTATTGGCCAGGTTGGCACAATAAACTAACACACTTGCGTTAGATCATCTCATTTGTTTTGCTTTTTTAAGGAGACATTCGCTTCAAGATTCAGGCTCTTTTCAAGAGAACTTAGTCCAGGCCGTCCATGTGTCTCCAGAGTGGAACTTGGGCTAAGTCTACCAGTCATATTTGGGGAGACTTGTGAAACTTACAGGACAGGCATAAAGAGGGGCCTTGTCAAAATCCACGGCCCACAGGACTTACTGGATGTCCTTATGGTGTGGAGCGCTGACATTCATGCTCCAAACAGTTGGCAAACAGTCGGAGATTAAACGCCATCAGGTGTCTGTCGGACAAATACCTGGAAAACCTCCTTCTTCTAAATGCAGCTGTAACTCACATCTTTTAAGTATGGTGGGGAAGACTGAAAACTCACACCATTTTTCTAGTTTTCCTCTTAAAAATCACTCTGGCACCTGCTTTCAGAAGGAAGATAAGAACAGGATGTGTAAGTAAGAACCAATTGCCCCAAGGATCTTAGGGGGAAAAAGATGATCTCTAACTCATTTCATTATTTGAGTGACAAATAGTGCATGTTCTAAATAATTCTTTGAAAGGTGAAAATATTTTAATTGTGCAACACATCAGAATGCATCATTCATCAACTACAGATTTAAAGTGATCATTCTTTATTCAGGCTGCCCCCAACGGTACCTGACATGCTAGTAACCCTTTCTACCAGGTGGGACAATTTGATAACAGTGGTTAGTAGTACTGTATAGCAGTGGCTACTCAAAGCTTGCTAAGCTGTTGGACAACAAATGGGAAAGAATACTACAATGGGTATTAACCCATCACACAGGCCACACAAGACCATGGAACCCAGTCCTGGAATCCGCTCATGTTCCCAAATCCAGGAAAGTTACTTAGTGTCTTCTGCACAGGAGGTCCCCTGAGGCATGAACTATTGATCTAGGAATTTTGCATGAATGCCTGTGTGTTGCAACTGTGTTCTTTTGTGTCACTCCTTAATATATAACCGGTTATTTCCATGTGTGCTGTGACGAGACTGGGTAACAAATTAAATCCAGCTATTTAATAAACATGACATGTAAACATTGGGCCCTTTTCATAAGGACTGCCCTGGGGTCATGAAAGTTCAGTGCACAGTATGCAGGATTGTGCAACACACTGTACATCAAAGCTTCAGCATGACTTCAAAGCTTCGTTCTTCAGCTCATCCACGATCCCACAATGCCATGACCTCGGCTGCATCCCACAGACCTGATTCCAGTGTCTGTGTGAACCCTCCGAAGTGCCTTTGGGGCTTGGGACATCTAGAAGCCTGGACCAGGCTCTAGTTATTGGGGAGGGGCTGAGTCAGATTCCCGGGGAGTTTGTGGTGGGAAGAAGAGGTTTACTTTCTGAGCAGAAGAGAATGAGTGTGACAGGCAAGAACCAAGCAAAGCAGGCTAAAGTCATGAAGCATGAGAGGTGGCCACAGGCAAAGTTAGTTCATGAGCAGAAAATTCTTGAGGCGATATTATTCTACCCCGCACACTACCATTTTGCCCATCATAAAAGGGACAGCCGAGCATTAAAGTGCAGACTTGTCTGCTCACGCTACTCAATTTGTGCTTCTGACAGGCTCTGATACTTCATAAGAACATGATCTCGAGGACGTTGTTTAAGTGCCCTTGATCCCAGGTTCCTCGCTTTTAGAAGGACACCCAAACCTTGGTCTCCTACGTTGGGATCTGCTCCTCTCCTGTTCTCAGAACTTCTGATTCAGTGACTGGAGCTAGAGCTGGTCAATCACAGTTGCATCCCTCTTCCCGCAGGGAGGTTCGTGATCCAAGAACAGGTGGTTAAGTCTCTCCCTGGAAAAGGCCTTCTTGTTAGGGAGATCTCTGGGGTGGAGGTCCTGTAAACCTGGAGCACGGACAGTGGCCATCCTGTCCCTTTGGGGAGAGCCTGCTGGAGACAGGAGACCATACTGGAGACATTGCTTGGCCTCCTGGAGTCACCCTTGCTTCCCCTGGGCACTCTTCCGATTTTCTGCTTCTAGGAGGAAATGCATTCCATCTTGGTTTAAATCACCTCGTGTTGGATTTGCAACCACAACACGCTACCTAGTACATGTGTTCTGTAAATCCACCTGTTCTGTAAGCTCCTCTGATGCTGTTGACTTTCTGTAAGGCTAACAGCCAAGACTGAGCCCTGGTGGTGCAGTGGGTAAGCATGTGACCGAGAATCAAAAGGCTAGTGGTTGCTCTGCTACAGAAGGGTGGGGCAGCCTGCTTCCCTGATGACATCAGCCTTGGAGACCACCCGGGCAGCCTACTTCATTTAGGCTTATGCTATAGGGCCTATAGGGTGGTTAGGTGTTGCAGTGGAGGACCTGAGGAACAGTTCTGAAAAGCAACTCTCAAAACCTGTCCATGGACTCGCTAGAGCAATATCGGGCCAGCCTAGGAAATCCAAGTTCAACTTCAATGTCTCCACACAAACACATACTGCAGCCCCGAGGACCTTGTCAGTTGAACTAATTGCGAGGCACACTATTTGTCAGAGGCGACTGGGGATTGAGTCTGCAGACCCGAGTTCTCTCCCACACAACTAACTTCGTGAGTTGCTCAACCTCTAGGAGTTTCCTCACAAAAGATGGACCAGAGGGCCGGGAATAACTACGATCTTACAGGATTGTTGTTAGGCTCAAAGGAGCTCAGTTGTGTAAGATTTGTGTGAGAATTGTGTTTAAAGAACTGTGTGTAAAAAAAAAAAAAAGAACTGTGTGTAAAGTTGTGTAAGAATGACGCACACTTTCTTGTTGATTTTTTCCAGAGACCCCGATTTTAGCTGAGGTGTGATGCACACCGGTTGGGTCATAAGCTTGACGATGTTTGACCTGGTTTTCCTAGGGCTGCCGAATAAGAGGCACATCTCAGAAGGGTCCTGCCTGGTCTGGGGTGTGACCTTTGTGGTATCACTCAGTGTCTTCTGAAATGAGGGCTTCCGCTGCCTCCTAGTCCTGAAGGCTCAGTTTTGCCACGCAGAGGACAGGTGAGATGCGGTGCTTCAGACAAGTTCCTGCCTGGCCCTTTGGCCATCCCTGCCTCCCAGCACCTGTGCACGCTGGCACCAGGGGACATTGCAGGCAAGGAGGCAAGGAGCACCTGCTCCCTCCCTGGCTCTCCAGGAAGCTTGCTCCAATCCCCGCCTTTGCAGGGTGTGGGAGTCTCTCCGCCGTCTCCTGGCTATTCCCTCCAGTGCGCTTTCTGAGATCCGGTTTCCATCCCCGGTGGGGAGCTCTCAGGTCCCGTGACGATTCTCCCGAGCGCCGTGGGTGTGCGCGGCGGGAGCGCCGGGGAGAGCCGGCGTGGGGC